CACACACTCTCTCTCACACGCACACACACACACACACACACACACAGAGTGCCAGATGCATCTAAATGCACAAACATGCTGCTTTCATTAGGGGCCTCGGCTTTGATCCGCCGTTCAACTGTTTTCAGTCATGTTATATTCTCTTAAACCACACGATTCTCATGCCTGACTGTTTTACTCTAGTATGAGTACATTTGAGTCATCGAATCGAGCTTGTTTTGTTTCAGAAATGCCACTATCTGTGTGGTCTTAAGCTATGAAGATTGTGGTTTATTGCATGCGGGTTATTTAACCCGTCTGTCCTGCTGAACCTGCGGATTTAAAACCAGATCTGACTGAGTTCGGTGTTTGATTGTCACGTACTGCAGAAAACACACATTGCTATTCAGAGTGTTTACTTTCCTGATGAAGTCACAGGTTTTGACAGTTTTTGTGTGTTTTGCACTGTTTTCAGAGTTCAATCCCGATAGATTTTTAAGAAAAGAGAGCTGAGAGGGTTCATTTCACAGTAAATGACATGAAGAGACGGTTTCTGACGTGATTTCGTGTATTTAATGTGCTGTATCGTGTTGCTAGACTCATATATTGGCCAGGTTAATATTTTGAGATTGTCAATTGATTTTATGCTTTCAAATGTTGTGTTTTGAGTAAATACTGTGTAAAATACAAATTAATTTAAATGCAGGATTTTTTCCCCCTATTTTCTGTGATTAAATGAGCCATTAGCCACCGGTTCTCAGCCATTAAAAATCTATTTCTGTGTTAATTACCATGACAATTAATTTTACACCTGCAAATGTATCTGCCTAAAATGTGTAAGAAAAATATACTGTTGATTTGATTTTTGTCGGCACATTCTAAATCTTCCGGCCCTTCTTGCATTAATGTGGAGTCGGTGAAATCAGCAGAATTTGCAACAACAGTCAAATGTTTATGTTTGCAAAACAAAAATGCACGAACATGATCAATGAATGCTGGAAGTAGTGACCGATGGGGCGTGTGACGGTTCTGCAAACATGTTGCCAAAACATTTCAAATTGTGCTGGTTTAAGTTCTCTTAGGAAACTGTGTTACTCAGCAAACGCATTCGAAGAAATGTTTAACAGAGTCAAACCTGAATGCACTTTAGAGTTTTTATCCAAAGTGAACTTTAAAACCTTACACAGGATTTTTAATTGCTCTTTTATAATACCTCAACTTGTCACTTGCCATGAAAATAGCCAAGGAAGCTGTCATTGCATTAAAACACCAATCAACTAAGTGATGCTTCCAAAGCTATCAGTTGTTTCTGCATTAAAGGAATAGTTCACCATAAATGAAAATTAGCTGAAAATCCGAAATTAGGATGAGTTTGTATCTTCATCAGATTTGGAGAAATGTAGCACTGCATCAGTGTCTCTGCAGTGAATGGGTGCCGTCAGAATGAGAGTCCAAACAGCTGATAAAAACATCACAATAATCCACAAGTAATCCACAGCACTCCAGTCCATCAGTGAACATCTGGAGAAGACAAAAGCTGAAACACATCCAGCATTAAGATGTTTTTAACTCAAATACATAGAGTCTATAATCCATAATAACTCTTCCTCCAGTGAAAAAGTGTTCTGGTGTGAATCAGGAGAGAAATCTGCACAGATCAAGCAGCGTTTAAACAGCTCTAAACACATATGTGGCTGGATGTTGATGTGAGAGACAACAGCAGATGCACTTTTTCACTGGAGGAAGAGTTATTATGGATTATAGACTCAATATATTTGAGTTAAAAACGTCTTAATGCTGGATGTGTTTCAGCTTTTGTCTTCTCCAGATGTTAACTGATGGACTGCAGTGCTGTGGATTATTGTGATGTTTTTATCAGCTGTTTGGACTCTCATTCTGACGGCACCCATTCACTGCTGAGCACGTGATGTAATGCTACATTTCTCCAAATCTGATGAAGAAACAAACTCATTCTACACATTTCAGCAAATTCATTTTTGGTTGAACTATTCCTTTAATGTTAGCTTCAGTAGCCATATGTTTATGTTTGCAGTTTGCACGTGATCAATGCACCCCAGAGCATGCCGATCGTGTTGCCAAAACAAAAACAAAAAAGATGCATGCTGAGTTACGTATTTATAGCTTTGAGGAGACGTGCTGTGATGTGAGTGCTCAGCTCATTGATGTCTGTCCCGTGTCTCAGGAGGCTGGTTTGGGTGGGTTTCCCCACAGCGGCTCCACAGGAGTGAAGCTGGAGCAAATGATGGAGCATCTTCAGCGGCAGC